CCCCCCTCCCCCGCCATGCAGGGGCCCGCCCATGATTTGCACCCTGATGTCACCTGATGGCAGGGTATATCTGGAGGAGAAAGAACACCTCGAGACCCTTTCTACACAGGCTGGAGGACTGGAGTTGAATGATTTGCAAGAGGAGCCCTTAGCACTGTAAGTATTTCCCAGGAACTCACAGCAATAATGAGGGTGGCAGGGGGATGAAAAGAGGAACTTGCTGCAAAACCCAAAGGAGAAAAAAGTCCTGATAAAACCCCATGTGTGAAAACTTTGGATGTTTGTGCTTAGAAAGTGTGAACAGACCCAGTAGCTGAGAAAGGGAGTTGTAGTTCTTAGGTGATTGTTTTGCTTCCTCTAACATTAGGGCAAGTGCTGTAGCAGAGTTTGTCTCAAAGCTGCCTGGCTGTGTGAGCAGCTCTGCTCTCCGCAGGGCTGTTTGGTTTCTCATGCCAAGCACCCTTCGGTCAGGGGTCCCTAGCTCCCCCTTGGCTTGTGTTTTCAGCTGGCTTAGACTGCATGTGAGCAGTGCCAGGGGGCTCCTGAAGAGCGTTCAGGACAGGCAGCTAGTGTCTCCTGCACCGGTGCCCAACCATACATGCAGGGCACATCAGTGGGGAGTTTGTAGTGTGATGCTGTACCTCTGGTATTACTGGATACTTTCTTTCAACTGGGATAGTCTTTCCAATGATCCCCATCTGGGAAGCAGTTGCAGGAATTTAGTTCTACTTGAAATGAGCTTCTGTCTTTTGGAGCGTATCCTCTTTCATTTGTTCTTGGTCTTAAAACTGCTGCTAGAATGAAGGGTCTGAGATCATGTGTAAAACACAGAACAGAACAGGAGCAGAAAAGATTGAACCTGCATGGACTTTTTCCATCGCTATGATTAGCCAGCTCAAGCAACTGAGACTGGAGCTGTGAGACTCCTCACTCCTCACAGGCATCTTAGATTGGATACAGTATTCCCAGATGAATGATACTAGTGTCTCTCAGGAGGTCAAGAGATGAGCATGCAAGAACCCCATCAAAAGGAATGTAAAAATGAGAGTATTTCCTCCTGCATGCCATTTTCTCCCAGTACATCATTGCATGGGGGTTCTGACACCCCTGAGGCACCATGAAGACAAGTGCACATGGAGAAGTCTGTATTTTTGAGGGTTTCAGACAGGGCAAGATGAGTTCCGCTACTGAATCTGTCTCAAGAAGGTCAAGTGAGGCATCTGCATTATATGTCAGGTAAATTTTCCATAGAGAATCAGAGATTAAGGAAAGGGCAGATTAAAGAGTCAGCATTTGTCTAGTAGTATTCAAGCCTCTTTAAGTTCAAAGAAAACTAAAAGAAGGATGATCAGCCTAGCCAGCAACCCAGACGTGGGATATCTGACGCAACTGAGATAAGCCCATTACCATGTATTAGGTATAATTATCATTCAGACGCAAGCAAAGCTCTTACCCAGAGGATTAAACCCTGGACTGAACAGAAATGCTGTCAGGGGCAATTAGGTAACACCTAATCAGAGGAGGGGGCAGAGAAAGTGTGTGTAAGAACGACTTGTTCCTCAACCACCTTTGCATCCACAGCTGGCAGTACAGCCATCAGCTCTTACCCAGGAGCTGCATCCCAGTGTCAGCGGCAGCAGAAGAGCTCTGGCAGCCCAGGAAGCCCTGGGGGGAGGCAGCATAGCACTTACAGAGATCTAGAGAAGGAGACTCAGTCTCATCAAACGTTTTTCAAGCCATTTGTTTGGTGTGGTACCAAGGACCATCCAAATAACCAGGTATGGAGGGGTGAAAGGCTGGGAAATTCCCCTGGGAAGCTGCTATGGGCATTTTGTTTGCATCTGTGATCCTGGGCTGCCTGCCCACCCATGTCTGGCTGTGTGCGGGGGCAGCTGGTTCCCAAGGTGTGAGAACTGAGGCAGCTCCCGTGCTGTGGGACAGAGCCCTCTCCACCATTAACATCTTTGCCTGTGTGTGATGGCAAGCAAGTCCCACCAGCTCAGTGGTGGGAGGGCAGCTTGATTCCTGCTGCAAGATGGAGGTTGTTATGTGACATTAAGGTTGCTTTCCATCCTACATCATTCTGTTGGTGATGCATGGGGAAAATAGGTACTGGGAGGTTGGTAAGGAAGCAGTTACAGTTGTCCCTTTTAGTTGCATTGAATGTTCTTTCTTGAATTCATGCATATGAGAGAGAGGATGAAGTGTGATTTGGGTAGGTACTTTTTCCTACCAGATCCTGGGTTATCAAGTATCTGGTAGGTGGATAAAACTACTTCAGACTGGGGGAAAAGGAAACTCCAAGGACTGTCTTCCCATTAGCTACTTCTCTATTGAGTGAAGGCCAGGGTCAAGGCATGGACTCAAAGAACTAAGAGGAGTTGACCCTCAAAGACGTTTTTGTGGTTAAAGTACTGTGCTGGCAGACATCAGTCATTGGTGAAGTAGGGCAGGAGCTCACTTGGAGATGGAGCTCAAAGGCATCTTACAAGTGTTGTATGTCAGTCCAAAGAGTTGGAAATCTGTTAGCCGGTTTGTTTCTTCTGTTGTACTTTTGCGTATAGCCCTTGAGAGGAGTGCCACGTATCCTGACTTGTCAAATAAACACGGTGCTTTAGTGGATGTGTGTCTCTCATAGTTCAAGAGGGGTATCTACCACTGAGACAGACACCCTACTGATGAGAACTGCACCTGAGGCAAAGGTGTAACAGGATACTTTGGGGCATCAGCAGACATGCCATGGAGCAATTTTCTAATGCAAAGCATTTTTTGTGGGGTAGTGCCATCTGAATTCCTCACTGGTCCTGAGTAACAGCGAGACACCAAATTCTCTATTTGGTATGGAGCCAAATGGCCTTCACCTCTCAGTTTGGCCCTAAAAACCTGTCAGTGAAAACACTTTGTCACTCTTCCCAGCTGTGCAGTCCAGGTCATACCAATCACTGCGCCCATTCCCATTCTGTAAAAGGTGAAGGTGACAGTGTTTGCTTGTTCTGCCACCATGCTGTGAGGATAAACTTGTAAATACTGAGTGATTGTTCAGGTGCTGAAGAGATGGCAGCCAAATAAGTAAGTTCTACGATTTGAGCTGATCCCTGTGTTAGTGGGCACAGTGTGCACTTAGGCAGCGTTGTGTTACAGGCAGGGAATAGCATCTGTGCATACTTCAGCTGCAGACATAACCATCTGCTGCTCCATTTGGGGCTGCTGGAACCCATCCAGTCTCCTGCTTGAGATATTATAGCTGAGACAGGAGCCCTACCACAAGCAACAGAAGAACTAGCATGCCTCTAGGTGTTATCAGGATCCATCCTACAGCACAGATGGAAACAAGTCAAGGGTGAAGTATTCCCAGACTGCCACAGACACAGAAACACAGCTCTTCTTGCACTGATGTGGAAGTGACACAGGGGGATTGCTTGGATGGTCTTTCTCCTTGCATCTCAGGCTTTGCTTTCCAGCACTCTGGCTATTTCAGGACTGTCAAAGACTGTCTTCTGACTAAAAAAAAAAAAAAATTCTTTGATGGCATTTACAGTTCTGAGATTAAAAATCCAGAGTGTCACTGCAGGTGATGTTTGGGATTAGGTCACTATGGTGACATAATGGGATTAGTCTTTAGTACCAAATCCTGAAGTCAATTCCATCAGTGATTCCATCAGCCTGGCTGCACAGGGGCAAACACCTAGATATAGGAGTTATGTAATGGTCCTGGGGCAGAATGTGACTTCAAGGAGGGGAGAAAAAGTTGGCAGTTATTTATGTGCCATAAATGCACTTTGTCAGACCATTCTAGCATACTAATTAGCACAAAATTTGATGAAGGGCTGAGAGCTCCCCCTTGAGTGCTGGTGAGATTTATTGCTGTCCTCTCTGGGAAGGAAGCAAAGGGCTCTGATACAGCAGTTCTGTTGGCTGAGGCAGAAGAGATGTCTCCCACACAAGAATTGCTCCCTGATAACTTTTTAGCCCCTATGAAGTGGAGCTTGGCTCATGTACAGTGTGGTGCAGAAGAGGTCAGAGCACATAATATAATGCTCAAAAATACCAAAATGGACATATTCTGGGGAGACTTAAGGGCTTTACTCTCCTAAATCCTAAGAAATTCACTGCTTTATAAAAGACAGTTTCCAATGGCCTTAGCCTTCTTTACAGTCTTTTAAAGATTCTATGCTATTTCCGTTAAGGTTGGTATTGACAAACATAAGGCCCTAATTGCAGCTGCACCCAGACTAAGGGCCCATCTAGCTCAGCATCCCATCTCCATTGGTGTCCAAAAAGGTACTGCTTAAACACAAGTATAAGAACCAGTGATGATGATTCTGAAGGATAGGATATTACTCTAAGCCCCAAGTCTATCTCTGTGGCTCCTAGTAGTCATATCCTGAAACAGTCCTTGTCTTGAGTATCCTTTGTTTGGCATCTTGATTCAAGCATGCCAGATGAAAGACAGTGCTGTCCTGCTTATTTTATATGCGTTACTATCTTTCTTGTATAATATCTTTAATCTTGTCACAATTATACTTTCTGTAATTCTGTCACCTGACTACTGATACCTAGAAATAAGCAGGGTATTGCGTCAGTCCTTGCCATTATCTTGCAGGCAGAAGGATCTGAGAGAAGCGTGTGTCTGCCACATACAGTAGCTGAGTGATGAGTGAGAAGCCAGGCACCAACCTCAGCACTGGAGATGGTCCAACTGGTCCCACCACACCACGCAAGGGGCCTCCCAAGTTCAAGCAGAGACAGACAAGGCAGTTCAAGAGCAAGCCACCTAAAAAAGGAGTAAAAGGGTAAGGGCATTTTGGAAAGAAAAGAAACCATGCTAGTTGGGTGGCTGCTAAGCTGGGCTTCTGCAGTACCATCTTCCCAGGAGCCTTCCCCCTGCCCTATGGTGCTATTAACTCTCCCACCTGGAGCTGTTTGTCTTCTGTCTGCCCACAGTTCTCCTTCCCTGCCTAGGGGCACAGGCCAGCTCCCCTTTTCTGGATGCTGCTGGCCCAAACTCACCCTTCACCTGCTCTTTTCTCCCCTAGGTTTGGAGATGACATCCCAGGCATGGAGGGACTGGGCACAGGTAAGCCCTGTGGGATGTTGTTGTCATGCCCTGCTTTAACACAAGTGCAGTCATGCTTCAGCACAGGAGAGGACTCTCTCTCCCTGGCCTCTCTGCAGCTCTCAGGGTCACCGGAGAAGGCTAGTACTCCCTCCACAGGCTGCCACAGTCATGCTTATGGTTACATACACTATAAAACAGAAAGGCTATTTAGGCATGCTTCAATTTCTGAATGGTTTCATTTGGCTGCAGATGTGCTTGTTTGTTTTCTGCTAATACTTTGGTTAAGAATTTCATCAGAATGAGGTTATCAAAGAAATGCCAAATGCTAAGCTATTAATACCAAAACTCACGGGAACTAAATCCCATCTGGTTAAATATTTGTGTTATTACCAGAATCCTAATTTTAAGAATTTTATGCACCTGACTGGGATTGAGAAACACACACTGGATGAGTTGTAGCCAGTCAGAACTTCTTAGGTATCAATAACAACTGCACCTATCAAAAAGTTACACATCCCGAACGTTGTAGACCAAATTATTCAGCATCTGATTTAAGATTGCATGTGTCTTCAAGGACATCACAGTTTGGCTACAGATAGTTTATAAGAACAAGAGAAACCACATAACCGGAATGAATTTTTATACCAGTTTACGTAGTTGCTGAAGAGACTTACAGGAAATGCTGGTTTCCTCTTGCTCCCAGAGAAAGATGGCACAGGAGAAAATACACTGATGTGGTTCAGTCTGGTAGGTAGTACCAGATTTGAAGAGCTCGTCTGCTCCTTTAATCTTCAAGTAGAGTCTTATTCTTCTTAATGTTTCCTGAGTAAATCACCCTTTACATTAATACCAAATAAATTCAAGAACTGCAATGACCAGAACCCATTTGTCATTCTTTCTGTTTTGCAGATATCACAGTGATTTGCCCATGGGAAGCTTTCAGCCATCTGGAACTTCATGAGCTGGCCCAATTTGGAATCATCTAAGGCATCAGCATCTCTACTGGTGTCACCTGATGACTGCACAGATCCCAGCATGGTCTTCATCACCTTTGACAATTATTTTTGGCCCTTACATCCCTCTGCTCATGGGTAGGGTGGGTTTGTAAGAGCTAGTTATGAGAATGTCCTTTGCAGATTAATTTGGCAAAGAAGTTATTTGAGACCCTAAACAGACCTCATGCTCCATGTGATGAAACTACTGAAAAATGTCTTAATGCCTCCCTACACCATATTCTGTCTTCTCCCACTGCTATAGATCTTAGTGTTTATTGAGATACAGGGAGGCTGTATTTGAACTTTTCCCCTGGTTAACTTCTCCCCGGTAGCTGAGATACTGTGTGCATGGGTCTGTATGTATGTCCAGACCTAATTATACCAAGCCATTCTGGTTTCTTCCTTCCTTCCCTGACAGCTTTCTATATAGGATTTCCATGAATATGTCCCCATGTTATTTGGGTCACCAATTATTTGCTGAGAGTATATCTGTAGAGAACAGCATTAGAGTCACCAGTCCAGGCATTAGGCCATTTCCATAGGAGACCCTTCCCCAGGAGTTCACCATAAGAAACCTGCTGCTAAGATTTATGTCATCAGCAAATAGGGAAAAGGGCTTGCAAATGTCTCTGCTGTACTGCCCACAAGCTATAAGCCATGAGACTCTGGCTTTCATAATAATGTTAAATGAAAATGTGTGTGTCTGAGATCAATAGCTAAGTGAAATAATCCTACTGTTCATTTTTTTGTGGTTGTAATTCCAAAGAATCAGCACTCCAAATGACAATGTGTTTCCTCTACTTTGATGCGATGCCCCTGTGTGACACCTGTGCTGTTCCCATACCCACACATACTTACACGAAGCATTTGCTCCCCAGGACATATTTGCTGCCACTTAAGAAAACAGAGAATCATTAGGATCTGTCACCAAACAGTACCAGTAGTTCTGCCTCATCTAGCAGAAGATGGTATTGCATTAGTTTCTCCCTCTTCCCTGTATTTAGCATGGGGAAAGTCTCCATTCACACACACCCACATCAGCAGGAAGGCTTTTGTCTCTTCACCCCCTGGCAACTTCAAGCTCTGGAGCTTCTCTGGACAAGCAGGCAAATAGTGGTTCCCAAGAGAGAGATAACTGCAGAGCAGTCATGGAGGCAGGGGGAGGTTAGGATGTGTGTATGCAGGCAAGCACAGAGCGAATCCACTTAACTCTATCGATTTGTGTCTCCTGGTCTCTGGCAGCCTGAGTGCTAGTGAGTGGTGAGGCACTCATAACTACTTAAATGCACAGGGAAGGCACAAAGATTCCCTGCTGCCCTGACATTAAGGAAACGCTTTTGTTTTGTTGGGAGGTAAGGAGCAAGCTGTTATAACAAGGCTTTGTTGTAGCTATATAATATTCATAAGACAAGGTGGCATTTTTAATCATTGCCTTCAGCTTGACAAGCCACATTACATAAGAACTGCCTCCCCCCAGATTATATTTTCTATGTTGAATGTGTTCATGGGAGAAAGAAGTGATCATGGAGAGGAGAGCAAATCCTACCTAAAAGTTCAATCTCCGTGCATAAAGTGTTGCTATAAATCCATGGCTGCACTATAGTTATCCACTACTGTTATTCCAGAAATAAAAGCTATCAGTTTTCATTTAAAATACAGCTTCAGCACCAGAAGCTAAATAAAATTCCTGATGCCAGTCCAGAGTACAGTTTTTATTATTCAGCACTCCTGCCTTTGGAAACAGCAGTAAACCAACAAGCAGTTCAGAACCGCACCACAATCACAGCGCAGGAGTCATGTACCATTTAGCTAATTGCAGCCCACAGCTATTTCCTTGGGCAGAGGCAGTCTATCCTTTACACTTACTGGAAATTTCTCCTTTCTCACCTTTTAAGGCTTTTCTTCTTTCCCTAAGTGTTCATTATGTAAATTACTTTTTATTCAGCTTTGACTGTAGGGGACTAATTTCATTTTTTTTCAAGCTCACATGCTAGTCCTCTCCTTCTGTGGTTAAATGTGAATGTTCCTATGTCAATGCTCTTGTGCATTCCCTCATATTACACCATCCTGTAGCAGGTAATCTTTATTCCACCTTCTCAGTTTGTCCTCTTCTATCTGGGAAAAGACCTATTGGATCCAGTTTTGGATCCTGCAAGCTGGCTGCCTCTACTATCGTTGAGTGTTCCCTTTTTTAAGCAGGATAAAAAGAGGATAACCTCTGAATTGGTCCTTTTCCTTCCTTTTCATCCCAGGCTTTGGGAAAGCTGTCCAAAGATAGTGAGATCCTCTGTCAGAAAATACTGGGGTAAAAGCAAACTTCTTAGTCCAGGAACTGAGGCATTTCAGCAAATGGGAGGGTCCCAGTGTAGTTCTACATCTGATTGCCATAACCTCATCTCCCATCAGAGAACTACTCCATTCTCCTTCCTAGAGGAGTCCAACAGGAGTGTGCACATACTCCAGCTCTCATGCCTGTCTGATGAACTGTATCAGAAGATGTTTTAAGTCAACAGAGTTTGCATTAAAAATAATTTCTATTCGTTATTAGGGATTACATTCCTTCCTTTACTTGTAAGGAACTTTGAGACTTAGAAGAGGAATCTTAAAACATCCTCAGAGTTGTTTTGTCTGAGGGTCAGAGGTTTTTTTAATGAGCTATAGCCCCTGAAAGTTCGATTTTCCAAACAGTGAGAGCTGACTATGGTGCAAGAAAGCAAATGTGTTCAAGTAGCTTGTTGAAGGACTTCAGCCTATTGTAATATGTTACTTTGTTCTTTTACTATAAAAACAAGTCAAAACCAATAAAAACTAATTTTAAAATGTTTTAAAAATCATAAGAATGTAGTCTGACTTGCTTACAAAATACATCCAGAGAAAAGGCAGATGACTTAGCTTTTCATTCTAAAATCCTTTCCTGAGGAAAGCTCTGAAAGCCACTCACCACTCCTCATGAAACCAGCTATTTATCTCCAAACAATAGGCAATAAAGACTAACTGTGATATCATCTGAGAAGCAGTTTTTCCCTGAGTGATGACTGGTGTATTCTCCCAGGCATGGTGCACATGATTTCCTTAGGGCTGAAATCTTTTGGCCAGTTATGTCTTCTGGGACTCCTTATGCAACTAAGTGTCAGCATGTTTCTACCCTACAGCAAAAAATGACTGAGATGTGAATGCCACTTAGTTGGTTCTCATTGCTATGACTGCAAAATAGAACTGCAAACATTCATTTCCTTTTGCTTCTTGTTCTTGTCGAACTTTTTAAACATTCATAGTGTTTCAAGTTGGTCAGGTTCAATTGCCTTCTGCTGTATGGTGCCAGGTCTCAGCTTTAGAAAGTGTTTTCCTTTGTGCCATCTTTGGAGCTTTTTTCTTGCAACTCATCACTGAGTGTCTAATTTAAAGTCTTTTGTCTTTGAATTCTTTCTGTCCTGTGAGATACAAATATGAGTTAGCCAGGAGTCATCCAGGGAGAACTTTTTATAAATCCCTTCCCAACAGCACTTACAAAGCCAGAGAAACATCTTTTCACATGGTTACTGCTATTTAATAACACAAACTTTAAATCTGGGTTTACCTGATGCCTGGAAAATTATGTATCACACCAAGAGTGCTCTCAGAGATGAGTCCCATCCTCACTGACCTCAGTTTGTGGCTCTAGTGAGAAAGATAAATAAACCTAAATATCTGCAAGAAAAGAAGAACGGACCTTGGGAAAAGTAAGAAGCACTTGTCTTGGTTTCCCTCACCTAATATATCTAAATCACCTCAGGAATCTCAATTTTTTAAAAAATCTTCAGTGTAGATTGGATTCTTCAGGAGATCTGAAGATGCTCAGTGCAAGATTCCCATCCTCCACAACAGTTTGCAAATCAGCACCTCAGTATCACTTTTTTCTATGGTATTGATCAATATGGTATGGACTAAGAAATGTACTCTGACAGTATCACTGTTTTGTGAGGCATTTTTCTATTTTATAAATGGGATTTTGAAAGTTAGAAAAAATGTCATCAAGAGTATCCATCACCTTTAGGTCTCCAGTACCTGTTTTTTTCAGAGTACTTAATATTATGTCTCAATGTTTAAAATACAGCAGTCATTGGTTGTGGTTGCAGCTATGAGTACTCATTAGCGAGTCTCACTCTCTCTGAGTCTGATCTCACTTGGACAGTAAGTTACAAGGCCTCAGCTTGGATATCCAAGAAATAATGAGTATGCATTTTGAGAGTATTTATTTAATGCCTCATAAAAATTACTTGTTGAGCATCACTCAGGGTGAGCAGGTTATTTCAGTCAACAGTCTGTTTCAGCATCACCACAACACTGCAGTGCAAATCTAGACAGATATTAAAAAAACCCCAGAAGATCATGTAATTAAAATTAAAGATAGTATCACGTGCTTATAAGTGTACTTAACTCTGGAATTTCCTAATACTGGTCTGCTTAACTTTGAAATCTTACTCCCAGTCCCATAGTACTGCCAGGGTTATTAAAGCTGGGCTCAGCTTAGTACCCTGATGTTGAGCACCTGCACCTCCAGAGGGTGTCCTGACTGTCCAAGGCAGGGAGCACTCATGGCTTCCAGCCTTCCCCACACTGACTGTAATCCACCTGTAAGGAGTGGGATGGCTCAAGACTCTGTGTGGGGAGCACATAAAGGTTTCTATCTAATTCTATCTAATTCTATCAGTTGCAACTTTCAGCTTATCTTTAACAAGTGCTCTCATTTTTTATGTGGTTCCGCTTCTTGAAGTTAGCATAACTGTGGTGACATTTTTGGCCCTTGCTACTTCTTCTGGGTGAAACAGATCCCTTCACTATGAAGGCTTGTTGCCTTCAGGCATTTTGAAACACCTTCTTGTCTCTGGCATTTTTCTGAGGGCCTCTCACATTCCTGAGGCTGTAAATGAAGTGGCTGAACATAGCAACCACCAGCACATACACAACATACTCCAGGCTTTTCCGATGGCTGGGCAGACCAGTGATACAACACACAGATGAACTTCATTACCCTATGAAGAATATGTCTAATGAGGGGGTCACTGAGAGTGGAGAAGGCTTTTTGTACCCTGAGAGCTTGGTCAGGACAGTGATGAACACAGGAAAAGTGCATAGGAAGGAAAGATTCCTTCAAGAACATGGAGAGCATGGAGCAGCAATGCAGTGAAGCCCTGCTCTGTGAGCTGCCAGCTAAAGCAGCACACCAGTCTCTACCCTGCGGACCATGCCAGATGGGGTATGGCAGATAGCCAAGGAGCACTTGCAGGAGCTCGAAGTCTGTTATGGTACTGAAAAAAGCATCCACATGAGGCACAAACTATCTACAAAGGGCATCCAGTGAGCAAGCTGAACTTGGTCCCTTGCAAGAGGCCTTCCTCTATCTGGAAGACAGTGCCTGTAGCAGCACAACCATCTGGGAAGAAAGATTGCTGGGAAAGAAACACATCAAAGTATGGGAGCAAGGGGTGTTCCAGACTACCACCACAATGGTCACGTAATCACAGGTGACAGAGAAGGTAAGCAGGAATAGCATCAGTGGGAGAATCAGTATCTTGTGTTATTAGGAGAACTCAATGTGTTTTGTTTCCCCTCACCTCTGGTTAGGACACCAGAAGGAGCAAAAGATGGGAATCTCAGGACTGTTAACACCCCCCTCCAGTGTAGGCTGCTAGATCACATCCCTTGGAAGCGTGGTCTGTGCAGGCTTACAGAGGGTGAAGAGGGGTGCAGCAGGTTAGAGACAGATGGGACACAGGGCCAGTTACTCAGCCATACAGAGGTTTCTGCCCCACAGGTGATCTGAGATATAAACTCGCATTGCTTCTTCAAAACCCCACATTGGTTTCTCTAAGCACAAGAAGAAGACAAGCTCATTTGTTCATCTCACAAGGTAGCTGGATACAAGTCAGCTCAAACCTGTACAACAGACAGCCTCCTTATCCAGCAGCTGCTATCATGGGCACAGCAAGCCTGCATCTGTCTGCACCAGGGGAGCTGGCTGCAGATCCGAAACTAAAGGAAGAGAAATAACAGCAGGCCAGCCACATAGGAAACAAGTAGTGTTAGATCTGGATTTAGCAACAATGTTACCAGAAATTATCTCTAGGATCAAGGTCCTTCCATGCTAGGCATTTTGTATAATAAGTACATCACCAGGAACTAATGAATTTGTAATAATACTGATCTCCAAGACAGTGTGTTACTCCAGCCTGTGGATACTGAACTTCACTAACAAGGCAGGGACAGTGGAGATGCAGCAGAGTCTTGAAAATGTCAGTACATGGCCAGGTCACATATAGACGGTTGGGATGAGGAACATGTAGATGGAGACATCAGGAAACAGTCCTTTCAAACACAAATCCTTCAGCTAGGAGAAGATCTGGTAAGCACCAGTCCCAGACAAGATCAAGGGGAAAGCAAGTCAGCAATGAAATTGCAATGAAATATGGTCAGCAAGTGAAGCAATTTTGGACTAAAGTTGCCTATATGGAAATAGCACCACAAGGAGCTATATTATGAGAAACCTGAGCAGAACTTAACACTACTGCATGCCCATCCAGAAATCTGCATTCGGTTCTAGGTATTTTGAGAACAGATGCTAATAAACTGTTAAGCATTTTGAGATAATGTAGAAGGGGAGGGAAAGAAACATACAGATAGAAAAATTAAGAAAGGAGAAGTAAGGACTCCACAGGCAGCAGGGATTTTGCTCCAGCATGCACAGCTCCCCTGAAACAGCCAGGTGAAGTTGTGATTCCATATGGAGATAGCTGTAGGGTATATATAACAAAGCAGGACAAATAGTAGCTAGGATGCAACAAAGAAAATCTATCCGAACATAACGAGACATCAAAAATTTAAGTAATTAGAACTAAGGCATAGTTCCTGCATGGGGCGGGGCAGTCGTGCTGGGCTATCACTATCGTTGCTTTCTCTCAAGCTATGCAGTAGTGATTCACAGAAAGTAAGTTTGGTTTTATGAAATTTATGCTCAGTCATTACACTATCAAAGTTAAATACACAGGAATCTCTGTTCAGCAGCCATCTGTAAGCTTCTGATAACAAGACACAAACAAACCAGTGAATAAATAGAAACACATTAATACAATGGAAGAAAAACTTTTGAGCTGAGCTTTCACCCCTGGTCCCTGTTACCTGTCAGGAGTTATTATTTCTTTGTGGAGACCAAAATAAAACCTGCTGCCACGGGACCATTTCAACAACAGAGAGCAAAGTCAGCAGCAATGGCATCCCACTCCCTGTGCACTACAAAAGTATGGTGCAGACATGTATGCAATAAGTGGCAGACCTCAGCAACCCTTCATCAAGTTGAGGCACAGGGAGCTTGATCTCCACACATCATCTACATGTCCCCATCCGTGGTCCCTGGCACTACACTGTCTGCTCTCCCTCTCCATTGTTCTCCCTGCCCCTCTCTCTTCCCATTTCTGCCTCCTCCTTGCTGTGTGCTTCACCTTTCTTATCTGCCAGACAATGCACTTTAGGAAAGTCTTTTTCCTTCTCCATCTAATCCCACTGTCAGCAGCTGGTGCTCCTCTCCTCTCCTCTCCTCTCCCCTCCCCTCCTCTCCTCTCCTTCTTTCCTGCAGCATCAGGTTTCCTTTGCTGATTTTCTAGGGGCTAAGGGAGCAAATGCAACCAAAAGTTCATTTGGAAAAATAAATATTAAAAACCAGCAAAAAGTCTCAGTCTCAAAAGCATGGAAGTAAATGAGACATTTTCATATCATTGATCAGCAAGAGCTACTTTTTGGAATAAAGCAGTGATATCTTAGTTCCACATCCTACCTTTAATGCCAGATTTCTCCACTTTGGAAGATACAAGATGCACCTCATTGTCTGTAATGCTATGATACTTTTTTTTTTTTTTTTCTTGGATCCCATCTGGGACCATTTGCCTGAAAGGCAAAGTAAAGCTTTGCAGCTTTAACCCAGTCATGTAACCTCTTTGCATTCATTCATGGTAATGCCTAATCCCATTTTCAATCTTAATAAGCTCTTTAGTGCAATAATATCCTATGGCACTAAGGCATACAACTTAATTCCTTGACCTAAAGCAAGCAGTCTCTTTAGAATTTTTCCACTGACTTCCACCGGCTTTGGATCCGGTCATGCTCCAGAAAAAATCAACCCACTGCAAACTGGTAAACTACCTGACTGAAAAAAAGTGCTATCATTCTATAACCTTTTAACACATAACTTTTCTATGCATTCACAAGAACTTCAAGCAATGTTTAACCTGAATAATTAGCTACCCTGATCCCAATATGTTCTTCATAAACTCTGCAAGATGGAATATTTCCTTATGGTCACTATCCTGGGCCTGGGTTGATACAGTGAGTCAACATGAGGAGTTTGGAGCCTTTGGGTGCCTACTCTCAGAAGAATCTTATCTCTTGATCTATCTAAATTAGTCAATTAAAAACAAAATTCCCAAGTTCATGCAGACAAAAATGATAGAGGTAAATTTAATATGAACTAAATCACAAGCAGGAGGAAACTACTGCTAGTTATAATATTTTAATTACAGAGCAAATTTTAAATCACCTCTTCTGAAGGACTGAGAAAAGTCATACTATGGGGACTGCCTGGAATTTCTCTCTGAGCCCCAAATAAAGGTCCTAAGTGGTCCCAATAGAACAAAACTTCTGTCTTGCTTTCCAACTGCAATTGTGGCCAGGAGCTACACACAGCATTAAAACCTTTCACTGCCCTTCGTGTGTCTTCACTTTGACACTACTTAAAAACAAGAAAATAAATCTCT